CTGCAACATTACTCGCCGGAGCCGGGAACTACGTGCATCAACCTTTTGAATAGATCTCGGCTCGATGTTATTATAAAGAATGTTTTTTTATACTGATCACACAGGAATGGCATGAAATTCCTTAGCAAAGGTAAGAAAAGGACTGGCTCAAAGGGGGCGGGGGAGAGAGGCACAGAAAGGAAAGTTTGAATCTTGGTTTAATCAATTGCCTTGACTAACTATCTTGCTCTCTACATTAATAGGGCCTCTTGTAATGCTACTAATTGTTTTGACTTTCGGTCCCTGCATCCTCAATAAACTTGTAGCCTTTGTCCAAGGAAGAATCGAGACAGTACAGCTCATGATACTACAACTCTACCTTGGCTTGATGGAATACCCCTCCAAAAAGCAAGACACTCTCAATAACCAACTTTAAAGAAGCTACGCTGATACAGCGAATTTAAACAAGTCTGTGCCTTTGAATTTGTTATGCTTTTGAATCTCTTGTTATTATTCTGTTTTTGCTATGGCTTTCTTTTTCTCTAAATGTAAGGTCCCTTCCAACCCAAACCATTCTACAACATTATGATTTGATTACAGATTTTTTTTTTTTTTTTTTTAAGTATTAAAAGAAAAAAAGAAAGTCTGTTCATACTTTTTTCATCTCTTTTCTGATTGTGATCACACTTCCTCTGTTTAATCTTCCTGTCAGGTTCTGTTTCTGGACACACTATTCCATTAATCACAAGACCTCCTGAAACAGAAGAAAGTGAAACAAAGTTCACTAATCCAGAATAATTTTACAAGACTGCAGACTTGCACAAGCAATGAGCACTTCAGCTAAGAATATATTTCCTCTATGCTGAACTCTTCAGATAGCTTTAGAGAGCCAGAACACACCAAAGATTTTCACTGTCAAGTATTTTGGAGTGCAAAACAACATGAGATTTTTTGAAAAGAACTTCATCGTATTCCAGTCAAAGAACATTTCAGAAAGCCACGACATGAGTCAATTTTTAAGACAAAATATCAACATTAGGGACACAAAGTAATACTATTTTCAAGCAGACCAATTAATATTAGGAAAGGACCAAATCAGGCTGTATTATCAGAAAAAAAGCCCTGAGAACAACATCTGTTCTATCACTTAGGGTATTAACACTAAGACTGGATAAAGTACTATAGTATTTGCTCTGGAGAACAATCCCCACACAAAGAGAAGTGCTCCAATGAATGATCCAGTAGCTTGTCTCCTTTTGCAGTATCATCCAGAACCTCTGATGTAGTAAACCCATTAGTACAAAGAAACTTTTGCTCTTTCTTAAACACTTAGAGCAAGGGTACTTAAAATGCTCTGCTGATACTATTTCTAGCTGACACAGGAGTATCAGGAGAGAAAAAGACTACATGGAAAGATGACTAAATAGCTGGAGACAATAAATAATCTCCTTTTTTAAAAAATTATCAAGTAGTAAGTATCTCAAAGCTTTCACAGCACAAGATCAACTCAGATTTCTCTTTACTGCCCAATGAGGAGAAAGCAAATAGGAATTTTGGAACCAATACCTGAAGGACTCATTGTATAGTTGATGCGCTCGCCTCGCCAATATTCCAGAGGTCTCAGTCGTATCCGTTTTGTCCGACGAACGTTAGGGGTGTTGGAAGGCAGCACTAATTGAAAGCATGAAATCAGTCACGTTAAGTATGAAGGAAACTTCAGCAACAGAAAACAAGAAATATCCTTTCCTGTCACCCTGTATCAGGGGACCAGCACTTCCCAGCTGGTATTACAACAGGAAAAGGGAATGAAGTATTGCCAAAAGCTTCCTTTTTCTTCAGTCACCGTGCTGACTTTACAGGAGATTTCATTCTATATGTCTTAGTGAATCACTGAGACACAGACATCAGGGGCTCAAGCACAAGGAGCAGCAAACATGCTACAACTGTGAAGACAAAGCTCTCAACAAAGACTAAGAAGGTTGCCTAAATCTGAGGGATTTCAGCAGCAGCAGTGAAAAGGCGCTGCCTTGGTTTAAGAGACTACATAAGCAGTCCCCCTTCTTCTGAAGCCCTATCTATCTCCAAGGTCTAAAAGAACAGCACTTTTGCAAACAGAAACCCCACAGATTTCCAAGATTTCTCAGAAATTTATCATCATATTTACGTAGTTTCAACTTTCAGTTTTTCTAAGCTGCCATATATCAATACAGTAAGATTCAATACTTTAGTGTTCATAAGAAAGAATAAAAGCTCCATAAGAACTGACAGCAAATGAGTCAGGATTATTTAAATGCTAAAAATAATGGCATAAACCTTGCTGAAAATGGTTTTGAAGGTAGACAGCTATAATGTGCATAAAATAATAATGAAGGCAATAAAAGAATCAGACTAGTATGGGATTACAACAGCCTGCATGCCCACTGTTGCCTCCTACCTGGACACAGAGCAGCACAGAAGGCAGGTTATTCACCCCCTCAGTTCAAACTCTTACTGGTCTCACTGAACTGTAAGCAGTGTCTTGCCTCAACAGTAAGTGAAACATGTGGAAATCTGACAGTTTTTTAAAAAGATTAACTGTTGAGTACAGTAATAAAAAAGAAACATTAGCATTTTTTAAAATTAGTGTAAAAATTAGAGCATCCTGAAGAACTAACAAGTCTTATCTATAAATACTTATTAACGTATGAACCCTTCCTGTGTCTCCTGCAGCAAAGTTTACATCAAGTTGGAAATGCATTCGTACTTATGCCCTTACAGTAAGATACTTAAAAATAATCTTACCTATTTTATGCCTTGCTATTTCATCTGACAACAGAGCTCTTAGATGAGAATTCAAGTCTTCAGAATTATCTGAAAATACATTCAAGAAACCACTTTTATAGGCATTTACTGTTCCTGACTGCTATTCAATATACCCACTAGAAGTAAAGGAAGGTTAACACAAGCACAAGCCAAACTATTAGTCTTCCCACCAAGACAGCTTTCTTTATGCATATATGAAACCAAATACAGATAAACAGTACGTGTAATTAGTTTTTAAGCAGTATAGGCTTGAAAATTACATGAAAACTATACATTCAAGTAAATATTCCCCAGGCTCATCCCTCTGATAAAACAAACACTGGCAAACTGTAACTACACATATTATTTTATGGACCAAAGTGGAAGGTCATTCAGCTGTATAACACCCAAGCCCAACTTCAGAGCAAACCTCTTGCCAGAACACACAGAAAACCACATCTCTAAAGAAAGCATTGCATGAATTAATAACATTCACAACTTGCTCTAGAACACTAACAAAAAGCCTTTCTATCCCCAGGGCTCATGTTATAACAATATGTACAACTTGTGTAGGGAAATATTTTTAGGCAAACAGGCCATGATTCTGTAAGGCTGTACAATCTGGTCTAGAGTGGCCTGAAGTGATCTTATATAGTACCATCACGTGGTAACACAACAAACTGGTCCAGAGTCTAAAAAATGTCTTCAAAGTATTTTGGAAGGATAACTTTTATCCTGATGTCAAATCGTGTAGTCCTCACCCTTCCGAAGCTAACCGAACGTAAAGCTGGCATACTCTGTCATGTTCTTGGGCAGAAACATGACCACAGCCAATACAAACTGCATTTCTTAATCTGGACAAGCTAAATACAACAGAAATTACTGTACCATCAATTAGAGCTTTTAAGAAGCTTACACATAAAATGCAAGAAAATACCAACTTTAAACATTACCTGTAGACACACTGTCCTGTTCAGGAGACTTAAGTCCAGAAACCATTTTAACACCATGCTCTAGAACAGGCCCACTTCAAAGAAAAACAAACAAAAATAAAACACCTGCTTGAATATGTTCAATGATCCAAAGGAACATTACAGCACTACAAAGAGTAGCAAATTCAAGGTTTTTTTTCAGATCATCTGGGGTTACCTGTGTCGATTAGACACTGAAACAAATGGCTGCTAGCTAGAAATTAGAGGTCTGACATTCACCAATTGCTCCTCTATGCAGTTATTAGGTAGACAAACCAGCGTTCATACCTTCTCTCTAAACAGGTTTTCTAAAAACCTTGTAAAACTTTTTTCTTTTTCCTCCCTTCCAGAATAAAGAGACATTTTCCTCTGCTTTGTGGCACTAGCTTTCAATTTTCCACAGACCACAATTATAGAAATGCTTTAAAGAAAAGTTTTGCATACTATAAAGAAAGGATAGTAAAACAGTTTGCAATTGTAATATGTATTCTATTATAAAATCTCCCCCATAAAATGGCAATAATTAACATTCCTTAGTGATTAAGTCACTTATAACAGGACTTCACTTGCAGCCTTAGCATCTGTACCCCTAACCTCTCCTTTTCCCTCCACCTGTGGCTGCACTCTGCTGCTTTTACCATGCCAACGAAGTTCTGCTGTGACCCACCTTATCCAAAAGGTGCAGTTCTAGGAGCACTGGTATTTCTGTTCAAAAATCACACACTTAGGTGGAAGAAAACCTCAAAGGAAAAAAATATCCCCAAAGGCATGAAACTTACTATGGCCCCTGAATCATGATAGAAAGAAGAACTTTATTAATTTATTAACTGTATTAGCATGGTATTTAAACCCCTCTGGCATAAATCACGTTCTTGTTTCTACTAGGTTCCTCCTAGCAGAACACAGAATGCAGGAGTAGTAATTCCAAACAGCTGTTCTCTCTCAGTAGAGCAGAAGTGGGATTAAATCCAAGTTTTATAGGCAGCTGAGGAAATTACCTTTCATGACCTGCAGCATCCACAACTGCAAAGGAATCTCTAGAAGAGAAAAAAATATTATTCGTGTTACATTTACTGTTAAGTCAATTTTACTTACTGAAAGGAACCTGTAGGTCAATAATTTTATGTACTGAACAGAACCATAAAAAACATTTAAAAAAAAAAAGTTATGCAAAGAACAGTGATTAAAAACTCACTCAGACTCGTTTAAGAAACTTCCTCTTTTGATTATCGAACATTAGCACAGTTATTTCCTCAAAAATAAGTATAGCTGAAGAACTAAACATCATATTTTCTCAATTTATAAACAAAATAACAAGCCTGGCAGTGAAGTTACTGTATGGGTGAGAGGGTTGTGGGCACATGTGTGCCTTTGTCTTTGGTTTTGTTTTTTTTAGACTGGGTCTGCTACTCAAGTCTCAAAGGAACACTTCAAAATTTCCAGCACAAGTTTCCTTATGTAGAAGCAGACACTGGATTTGGCACTCACCTTGGAGAATGGTGATTACACCACTTGGTTTCTCTATTAGCTATTCAACCAGTCTGAAACTGTCACATAGTTCAATTGGGCCATTACTGCTTAAAAGCCAACGAGATGTGTTTAATTATCTACCCAGCTACACCACACTTGTAAGGAATTACATAAAAAGCTTACTTTGGTCCAGTTTGCATGGTACGTTTTCTTTTTTTACTTTTCATTTTCACCTCTGGTAACTTCTGTTTTTTTCTTGCCATGTCCTGTTCAGAACTACTGTCAGAAGGCGTTTGAGAATCGGTGTCCTCACGGCTCGAGCAAGCACCTTCACTCATTCTGTGATGAGTTTTTTTGGGAGTCTTCCCTGAAGACTTAGGTGACATTTGTTTCTTTCCAGAATTCTTTATACTATCTACAAGATACTGTAGTGCTTGTACAAGAGCGTCATTGCCTGCACTAAGTGACTCCAATGAGTGCAATACATTTTTAGGCTTTTCAGACTTAGCCAACTTTGGACTCCCGGGAGTCTGCAATTTCTGCTGCAGGGGTGAGGTAAACACTTCATCCAATTTTACAGGCTCTTGTTCAGGCTCTTCTTCACCAGGTTCAGAGTCAGAACTCTCCTGTCTTTGTAACTGAGACTTTTTATTACTACTTTTCTTGACAGATTTTTTAAGCTTCTTCCTCACACTTCCTGTCAGCCTCTTAGCTACTTTACCTTTTGGGACTTTCTGCTTAGCAGTTTGTTTCTTGGGAACTAAAGGTTGAGAGGTTTTTGAAGCAGATTGTGGATCCTTGGGAGACCTGAGATTCTCTTTTGAAGACACAGTCTGCTGTTTCTGATGGCCAGCTGAAGGCAGAGGAGAATCCTCACTTGGCATCACCCTGGTTTTACACTGCTCTGTATCGGGTGCATTCACTTCCAATCCAGCTGGTGACATCAGTTCTTCACCTTCTGGTTTCGAGGACATCTCCTTCTTGTTAGGAGAGCCTTGCCTAAGTGCACTCTTTTCAGTCTTTCCTATCAATACACAAAACACTTGGATGTTAATATCTTTTCCCATTAAATCTGAAGATATCCAACTTAAAAAAACAGTGCCACAAACCCAGACTTTTCCCTGATTGTTAAAAGAAGGCTTTCTCTGAACTAGTGTATGAAAAATTCAAACCAGAATTTTTAGCCGACTTCCAGTATTTCCTAGCAGAAAATAAAGGGCAGAGCTGTTATATTCAATCTGCTTTTCAGTTTTCAGTCCTTCCTGCTACAAAATCCTTCTCAAGTAATTCCTAAAAACTAATCCCCTCTTTTTCAAAACATTTATCTTAATTTTTCTACAGAAAGAGGAGCAAAAGCTCCTTGTCTGCTCCTAAGAAAAGGCAACACTGCTAAGCTAATATTTAATGTCCTAACAGGAAGGGGAAGGGGTGGGAAGGCAGAAAGAATGAAGACACTCTGCCTCACTGCCTTGCATACACCCAAACCTAACTGTGAAACTGAAACATCAGTTAGGAATCCCTTCATGTCCCTCATCTACTTTGTACTTATTTGCCAGTAAACTACCTGTCCTGGTTGGGCTAGGATAGGGTTGATTTTCACCTGAAGTTGGGAGGGAGCTATAGCCAGGGCAGGCAACTGAACCAGCCAGTGGGTTAAACCATGACAGTCTTTCTGGTGCGCAATGTGGAGCCCAAAGAGTTGAGATAAAGAGGAAATCTGACCGAGGTGTACTAAACCAATTCTGTTATTCATATTCTTTTTTGCAATCTATTAAATAGTGCATGTCCACAATGTTAGCCCACGTGCTTACATGGTGGTCTTGTGCTAATCCTTATTGTCAGATGCAGGAAGCACAAAACTAGTACAAACCATAAAGCTCAACACTGCAAACACCTGGTGCCAGGGCAGACACTGGGGCTGAGTGAAGCTTCAGTGGTCTGTGTCCTTGAGGCCCTGACAGGGAATGTAGAATGCAGTGAAGGTTGCTTGCCCCATTCTCCCACCTAGCTCATGACAGTCTACTCCGTGCAGGTGCAGATAAGGAAGTTTTGTGCTAATTACAATGAACAACTGTCTGCCCACAGCCCCATCCCCGCACTTTGATCTTAAGTAACAAAAAAAGGTATAAATGTCATCCTGCTTGGGACCCCGTTTGCGGGACGAGACTTCGGCACCGAGTCGCAGGGACTGACCGACGGGTCTGTTCTCCTGCCCCCCAGCAGGGACACCTCTGGGGAAGAGTTGTGGCCTCAGCTCTGCCAAGTGATTTTTCCCCAGGAGTTTATCATTATTGCAATTGACTTTTAGAGCTCTATAGCTACCCTGCATCTTAGTGTATTTATCACCAGCAATCACAAGGAATCTGTATGTTGTGTGCAAATGACCCCATGCTGTCCGTGCACCCAATGGCTGCTGCTGAATGCGACCGGACCTACAGCCACAGGCTGTTTCTGCCGGCGGGGGGGGACCCCCAGCCCCCTGGAACCTGCTAAAACACAAGTTCAGCCACCCCCAGCCCCTCTTAATAGCTGAGAACCAGCTAGAAAGCAAGGGGATTTGTGTCTTACCAAATTTGTCTCTCCCTTACCCACACATACCCCTTTCCCTTCATGCAACACTTAGGTCCTGCACGTGTTCTCTGGGATGGTGTTTGCCATCTCTGGGAAACAGGTCAGGGGCCTTGTCCCATTTTACTGAATGCTGGCAGCTCATGATATGAGGTTAAACGAGTATGTGCATGCAGCCTGGTTGTTTTCAGTCATCTCACCCAGCCTGTGGGTGAGACAGGTGAGGAGACACTCAGGTTTTGAGAATTTTGGCTATCTTTGGACCATCCAGGCCAGCATGCTCTCAGTGCTGTGTGTTTTGAATGTTTGCCAAGTTTTGTTTAGGGTTACAGAATTCATCTCTAAGAACATCTCCCTGAGATCTACCCCAATGCTGGATAGTTATGAATAGCAGTGTATGTGAAAGAGTATGGGCAAGTGCCTAGGCCAATGGTGACCTCCAGTGTTCTGGAATTTCACCTCTGAACAGGTGCAGAGTCCCAACAAACTGGTGAAGTACTTACAAAAGGCGTGGTGTCAACCTGGCAATCCCCAAGAAACACAAATCACGGCAACATGTCTGGGCCTTGCCCTTGCCTACCGAGTGCTTCTTAGCACTATTCAGTGACCTCAGGGTGTGGAGGAGGTCTCTGGACCTAAAAACAGTCCAGAAGCTGCTCCAGTTGACCTGCAGAACCAACCTGTGCCTGTATCAGTCACCCCAATACAGAAGATGAAATACACAAAGAAATCGGCCCATGTAGTGAGGGGTGACGATGAACCAGGGCCACCAGAACAAGAGGAAGAGCCAGAGGTGGTCATCTGACCCCTGTCCCCGAGTGAGCTGAGAGACATACGAAAGGATTTCACCCTCTGCCTGGTGAGCAGCTTCTCACCTGGCTGCTCCGATGCTGGACCAGTGGGGCTGGCAGTGTGGAACCTGAGGGAAAGGAGGCCAAGCAGCTGGGATCCCTGTCCAGAGAAGGGGGCATTGATAAGGCAGTCGGGAAACAGACACAAGCCCTCAGCCTTTGAAGGCGACTCCTGTCAGGTATAAAGAAAAGGCATCCCTTCAAGGAAGACGTCACATCTTGTCTGATGGCCCAGCACATCAGACCCACAGGAGTACAAGGCTCTAGTTGATACTGATGCACAGTGTACCCTGATGCCATCCTGCTGTAGCGGGGCTGAACCGATCTGTATCGCCAGGCTGACAGGGGCATCCCAGCAGCTCACTGTACTGGAAGCTGAAGTGAGCCTGACTGGGAAGGAGTGGCATAAACATCCCATCATGACTGGCCCAGAGGCCCCGTGCGTCCTTGGCACAGACTGCTTCAGGAGAGGGGATTTCAAGGACCCAAAAGGGTACCAGTGGGCCTTTGGTATCGCTGCCTTGGAGGAACCTGAGCAGTTGCCCACCTTGCCCGGGGTCTCAGAGGACCCTTCTGTGGTGGCATTGATGTGGGTAGGAGAGCAGCAGCTGCTGGCACCAGCAGCAGTACGGCACCGACCGAGATCCCCTGATCCCCATCCAGAACTTGATTCACCAGCTAGAGCCAGCGGGTGACCAGCAAAACTCACTCGCCCTTCAACAGCCCTGTACGGCCAGTGCGAAAGTCTCACAGAGAATGGAGACTGACAGTGGGCTACAGTGGCTGAATGGAGTGACACCAGGGATGAG